TCTCTCTCTCTCTCTCTCTCTCTCTCTCTCTCTCTCTCTCTCTCTCTCTCGGCAGCGTGTGCACATGGCATGACCTGACCTCACATGTCATAAGGATTGCCATCTCCTGAACGCTCTTACTCCTCTCCTCTCTCCTCCTCTCCCTATGTGTGTTTGGCCAGGCAGTGCTGTCGAGTAGGAATTTAGGGTTCAGAAATTCCATGGCATAGTACTAGGTGAAATTTCAGCCTCTCAAGAGGGTGGCATATATTTAAGTAATTAACTGGTGGTAGGAAAAACATATGCTGCATTTTTTGGGCCTGTAGGAGCACGAAATGTGCTACTTCTACCAACTGGACTAGCTCAGTTTGTACATCCCTCAGCCGTTGAAATACAAACCTGAGTTCGGACTCCACTGGAAGCAGATGACTAAAATACAAAATTCTGAATTACAAGACGATCTCTTTTTTCTTTTTTTATACTCTTCTCTCAATGTCACTTTTGACTACCTACCTAGCACTACTACTCAGCCTACACAGAGGACCCCTGCAAGAATAGCTACCTCTGGCAATTAGGGGATGCATGTTGCCCCCCGCCCTAGGGTGGGGCCGCCAATTGGGGGGGGGAGGCTAATGCAAAGACCGAGTATTTTGCCAGTAGCTGCGCCTCCCATCTACCTCCCCAACCCCCACGAGTAACAGCAGCTTGGCCAGCACTCTCCCACACACATACACACCACACACAACCCACACACATACACACGCACACCTGTGATGGCCAAAGACCCTACCAATGCTGAAAGGGGGGGGCACGGCACCTATCTCAGTTGGTTGGCACCAAGAGTGCCACAGGTGGCCAGAGAGGATCAAACCCACGACCTCCTGATCCCACTGACCACCTGAATGCCCCTTCCGTGCCTAACCAACTGAGCTAGGCCACTTGCTCAGTGGGTTGATACGGAGAGACTGAGGACATAGGGCCTCTTTCCACACCACTTGAAACTCAAGTATTTCCTGCCCAACACTGTTCCATGGTGCACTTGAGTTTGGCGAAACATGTTCCGGTTGCCATCAGGATTGGGGGGGGGGGGTGTCTCGGCCCAAATGCGCCGTG